CACTTGAATCTTTCTCAAAAACAATTGTTTCTTTTCCCTCCATCTTTAATTGTTCCTTTCTAAATTAAAAAGGTAATTCAGTAGAAAAGTGTATTTAGGTTGCATCAGCATATGTGTAACAATCTGGATTGATACTGAATAACCTAATTAAATTATTTTGTTTCCTACTATTGAGCGGTTTCCTTTGCAATCCATAACTTACATAGCTAAAGTAAATAGGAAAACTTACCATGTGATAGCATGACATTGCACATCTTACTACCTTCTGTGAAGACTACAGATTTTCTCTTCTCTGTTTTCTGTGTCTCTCTGATTCTTGAACATAGAGGGTTTTTAGAGGAAGTTTGGGATTAGCAGCAGAAAATACTATAGTAATTAAGGCATTGTCCTTAAAGGAGGGTCTAAAAAAGAGGGACCCAAGCTGCCTCAGGTTGAGGAGGGTTCGAACCACTGCCTCAAGGACTGTTGAGATGCAACAGCCGCAGTCTCTTGCTTCCTTCCAGCAGATGCCTATCTGCGAAAGAAGGTCCTTTGCCAATCCTGTCTTTGTGGTGGTTTCCTGCTCAAGAACACTGTAGTACCTTATAGATGATAGGGAAGCAGAACTCTTCTTAAACCTTTCACTTCAGAGTTGCCTGCTTCTCTCTCCATTCTCTGTACAGAGTTGGAAAACTCTATTGACTTTACATAGTATAATTTACTAGCCTGGGTTCCTGCTTTAAGTGTTGAAGCCTTTGAGTTAATGTCTAAATTAAGTCATCTGAAATGTCTCAGAAATGTCTTAGTGCACAACAGATAAGCATAGTTATCTGCCTTCTGGAATTGGACTATTAATCATAGAATGGGTTGGGTTGGAAGTGGCCTTCACGACCACCGAATTCCAACCCCCTCCTATGCGGAGGGACATAGGAGGCCTTGAACCTGGCCTTGAGTGCTGCCAGGAATGGAACAGCCACAGCTTCTTAAGTCAACCTGTGCCAGTGTCTCACCACCCTCACAGTAAAGATTTTCTTCCTAATATCTAATCTTAATCTACCCTCTTTCGGTTTAAAGCCATTATCCCTTGTCCTGTCACTACATGCTCTTGTAAAAAGCCTGTCTCCAGCTTATTTGCAGGCCCCAGTTAGGTACTGGAAGGCTGGTCTGAGGTCTGCCTGAAGCCTTCTCTTCTCCAGGCTAGCAAGCCAAACTCTCTCAGCCTGTCTTTATAGGAGAAGTGCTCCTGCCCTCTGATCTATCTTTGTGGTCCTCCTCTGGACTTGCTCCAACAGGTCCACATCCCTCTTGTGTTGGGGGCCCCAGCGCTGAACACAGTGCTCCAGGTGGGGTCTCATGAGAGTGGAATAGAGAGGGAGAATCACCTCCCTTGACCTGCTGACCACATTCCTTTTGATGTAGCCCAGGATACAGTTGGCTTTCTGGGCTGCAGAACCACATTGCCAGGTCATGTTGAACTTCTCATCAACCAACACCTCCAAGTCCTTCTCCTCATGGCTACTGTCAGTCCATTCTCCATTAAGTTTTACCAAAAACCTTTATAAACTTTTCACTTGCTGCTAGAGACTTTTGGGGGCTACAGTGCCTTCTGTATTACTGGATGGATTTCCACATGGAAATAAAAGAAAAATATTATAATCCTAGGGCAACCACTCTGATAGGAGATGACTTAATTGATTTTGAGGCATAAATGCCAAAACAGTATTTATCACTTGTGCATCACATCAGTAATATAAAAATACTTTGATTTTAAATAGTTACAATGTGCACACATTATAAAAACTTCCTACAAAGCAGGTATTGCGCTGCTCTTAGAAATATTTCTGATATTTCCACTTCATCTTTTTCCTGAGATTAATTTGCAAGAAAGCAAAAGAAGCCATCTTTAGGTCATATGATAACATATAACTCAGTTCTATCATGATTTTTAAAGGAAAAGAAAATAGTTACTGAGGTGAAAAATTTGAACTTTTTGGTTTTGAGGAAATACTGGTAGTGGTGGTTGTTTTTTTTGCTGCATCACTGAATATTGTGAAATGGGTATTGGCAATAATTATATTGTAAGGTCTGGACCCTCATGTATTACAGATGAACAGTTATTTGGCCTAATTTTCATCTGTCCAGTGGCATATAATGGCATGAATCTTCTTTGTGATTAAGTAATTTAACTCTTATGTCTCTCATTCAAATATATGTTGTGTTTAGAAACTTGCACACTCTCATAGAGGTATCAGTCTAAAAAGACATTTTGTTTTCATAGACTGTGGGAGAGGGAAAAAGAGGACAGCGCTTAGCCTGTCAAGGTGCATACAAAATAAGCTACATCTCTTAAGACTATGAACAGTAATGTAAGGAAAATTATTATGTAAATCTATTATACCTATAAACCAGGTGGCTGAAGCTTTCATGGTAGCTAGCAAATCATACAGAACCTAGATCACAGTGGTAATCATGGATAAGAATTCAAGAGCTGTTCAGAAAACAAGAATATTTTCCACATTTTTTTGCATATTTGGTATTGACAGATTTTTGCTACATAGAGCAGAGGGGCCATCTATAGGAAAGAGCCTCTATTTGATTCAAAGTGGGGAAGTTACTGAAAACATGGAACTTGAGGAAAGTCTGGGTAAATGTGACTTAAGTGAGAGTTTATGGTTCCTAGTAACAAAAGGGAGGAAGAATGCTAAAGTAAAAACAACGGATTTTGTGAAAGAAGGCTACAGTAAATACGGAATTGGTAGATAAGATCTCTTTAGTCAAGCCTCAAGGAGAAAAGGAATTAAGGAGAAGTGATTCTTTGTCAGAGATACTTCTAAAGTAAAAACAATGCTAATGCAGAGATTTAGACTTGAATTAAACTGTAAATTCTTCATTGACCTCTGAGACTTTCTCAGTCTGCTGAAGAACAGAATAAAAGATCTGTATAAGAAAGGGACAAAGCTGGGTAGGGAGCTGGGAATGGGGACACCCTGATTATCTGCATTTCATTTTTAAGAAGAGGCATGAAGTTACTACAGACAAGCGCACACATCCAAGAACGTTCTGTCACACAGGAGACGAAAAGCTAAAGGAAGTACTTATTGGATGATGAGAAAATGATACTGAGGTAGTGAAGTTTTTCATCTATGTTTTGTGCAAGTTTTTGTTGAGAAGAGTCACCTATGGATAGGTGGCTAGCACAGTGCTAATGCTGAAACAGCATTCTGCCTTCTGTCTGTGTATGCAATTACTTGTTTCTGAAAATTAAATAATATTGTGAAATGTGAAAAAGTCACCAACTCTGTGGCCAGTTTATGGAAGCCCATAGATAGTTTTTAGTGTGAGTTACTTTAAGAAGTAATTGGAAGTTACTTTAAGAATAAAATATTTAGAAGTTCTCCAACTTCTCAATGTAAAAACTTGGTTTCAGAGATCTTCTCTTTGAGTTTATATTCTTGACGATCTGGCTGGTAATGTTTCAGCCCAATAAATACCTGCTTTGGTTGGAAATGCCAGAAGCTTGTTTTTAAAGGGTGTGCTGCATTCTTCTGACCTGTCTGCAGTAAGACCAGAAACCAGCAATTGTTTATGCTTAGTTTAGTGTAATAATGCATACACTATGCCATTTAGAGAATCAAACTTTATGTATTTAATCAAGTGTTAATATCAGTATATGTATTTATGTACAGAATATGATACTACATGTAGGTAACAAGTAATTAATATATAATGATTTTAGGCAAACATAACTGTCTGCTTCTGCAGAAAGAATTATTAGCCTAAAGTCAGGACCATATTGAAGGATGATTCTTCCTAGTCTAATTTCGCCTGTGCTGGCATAGACGGCCATGACACAATACAAACTGACTTCTTCAGGCAGCTGTCAAATCATTCTGGTTACCAAACAAATAAAATTTTATCCATCTTATAAAATAGGAATTATGCTACAGCTGGGGGTAGCTGAATGAAAGAGCCCCTTCCCTTCCAGATTTTGCTCTCTTCCATGCAATGCTTGGGGAGCATGGTGGTGTGTTCTGGAATATAAACACTGCCAGTTGGAGAAGGCAGTGATACTTCTGAGTGCTGAATGTGGATTTCACTGTGGTAGGTCCATGTGAGAATGCCGGAGTATAGTATAAAATCAGTAAAAGGTCATTGCCTACTGTTTCCCTACCCCCCACCCCAAACCATTATTTGGAGCATATTTCAGATGCTCTTCTCATCTCAAGGCTCTGAAATAAATTTTCATTTTCTGGGTTTTTTTTTAGTTCATTTCATGACAGTTATGTCAGTTGCTTTAGCTGGTTCCCATCATTTGAGTCAAAGGATCAAAGTACTTGCATCCTCCGGGACAAGTATAAATAAAAAGAATTGAAATATTCTTAGAAAATATTCTTGTCATACTGGGAATCATTTGCTAACTTAGCCTTTCCAAGAGATGAAACAAAGTGACAAAAAGCTGGTTCCAGTTCAGCCTTCTAAGTAACTCTGAAATCTTGCTAGGGACTTAAGTAAATTATTCTTTGGAAAACAAAATTACTTCAGGAGTATTACACGTATTGTATGTGTGACATACAGCACACAGTCCAGCACTTTCAGGAAATCGCAGTGTTAAGAATACAATTTTATTAGTACATTTGAGGAAGCTAAACATCTTAAGCATGATCTGTGTAAAATGCATGTAGTGCTTAGCTGGGCAAGATGGATATGCCTTCACTGTGTTGACATCAAGCTATGATCACTGTAGGAAAAATACCCTTGCAGCTAATAAAGAAGAGTGTCACTTTCATTAAGTTTCATTTTAACCCAGATTTTGTCTTTGAATTAATTCTAACTCAAAGTTTCTGTTTTAAATGATAGAAATCTCAGCTCTCTCCATACCAGTATTTCCTGCTTTTTGTTCTGTTGAATGTTAAACTGGGTAACACCAATTAAATCTACTCTGAACTACGTGTAAGTAAATGTGTAATCTTTCTGTGAACTTTGAATGGTATACTAGTTGTTTCTCTTTTTCTTTGAATTAGATGGAGAGCAGAAGACTCAAGTGATGATTCATGGAATTGAGCCAATGCTGGAAACACCCATACAATGGCTAAGCGAACATATGAGCTATCCAGATAATTTTCTCCACATTAGTATCATTCCCCGACCTACTGATTGAAACTCAGCTATTGAAACTCAGCTATATTGGTATGAGGATCATTCTCAAGCTGGAATTATAAGGGCATGTCAACTGCTTGCTTCTGTCAGTCTTGACAGAGGCAGCCTGACCAGAAAAAAAAGAAAAAACAAAAAACCTGAAGTCCTCACTGCTGCAAGCCAAACAGGAAGAGAGATCCTATTGTCAGATAAGGGCAATTGGGCTGATCTTATTTTGCATCACCACTGCTTTTCTTCACCGCTGTAATTAAATCAGTTGCGATATGAAAGAATTTACAGGACCTCTGCAAGTCTGCTGTTTTCTTGTAAAATAGAATGAAGCTGAAACTGTCAGCCGAAGAGCAAATGGAAATATGCCACTTGATTGTATTTCTGATTAACAAATAAACAGGGCTGTTTCCTAAAGCGGTAGTGTTTCAACTTTGAGAGTGGAAACATTGGTTTAATTTTCTAGAAAGTTAGACAGTGAGGGATTCAGTTACCAATGGCTTTTTGTAAAAGATCAAATTACTGTAAACCCATCTTTCCTTAATGAGAAGTTCATGTTTACAGTATGTGTATTGGTATGCAAATGATCTTTTAACTTTGATAACAAGCAGTGAGAAATTTTAAAGCAAACCCGTGAGCATGTTTTGTCATTTAAAAACATGCACAACTTAATAATTTACAAATACTTTTGGTTTGTATGCTGTCACTGAATGCTCCAGTATGTTTATTATTCAAACCAGTTTTCATAGAGTAGCAATGATGTAGGATAATTTGGCTCAGGATTTGTCATGGCATTTCTTTGTGCTCATCTAATTATTTTTTTTTTCCCTGTAAGAGTATTTTCTTAATTTAGTTTAAAAAGTTAATAAAAAAAGAGTAAACGGATGTTGCAAACGATTGTATCCTGCTGTTTATTCCCATAGACTAGAAAACAATTAAATCATAGAATGATGAGCAGATGTATTGCTTTTAAATAATCTTGAATTTTTGAAAGCTGAGACTTTTCCAAACTGGTACTTCCTTACATCTGAGTATACTTTTCTGTTGTGGTCCCTGAGCAATCAGGCTGAAATTTGGAGGCTTCTAATCTCATTGCACAGATTTTTTTTTTGTAGTTTAGCAGATGTATTTTTAGGTTCTTGGATTGCTTTGGTTTCTAAATGTTTGTTACCATTGCAGCTGCTACTAGGTACCTACCATTTTTTTGTTAACCTGAATTCATCAGACTGTGTGCTACATCACTCTGTCTTCAGTTTGTGGCTGTTTGTGGCACAAGACTGTGTTTGTAGTAGACATATTATCAAATATGTCAAATATTATCAAATATAAAGAGAGCATGACGTTTTTGTTTCAAAAATAGTAACTGTTGAAATTCCTACTCAAAGTTTTGGCCTGCAAATGTCCAGGTAATTCCCATTGTTTTTCCGATTAGTTTCCATGCTCCCTTTATGGTAAGACACTTACCGAAAATTGAAAATTGATCAAATAAAACCTGTTTAAGAAGCAAGATTGGAAGGCTCTCCGTGGGTGAAGATAGAATTGAGGCTAAAAAAAGCCTTAAGGGCAGAGTAAGTCAGTAGACAAATCAGATGATGTTTTAAATGTAAATGAGGAAATAGCATTAAGGAAATGGAAGGGAAAAGGTAATGGTGAAATAAACCGATGTTGTATTCTGCAGGTCATGAGCAACTTCTAAAACAAACCAAACCATGCTGATCTGTGTTTATGCAGAATTGAAATACAATATTCTTATAGTGGGATGATTTGGTTGAGTCATTCTAATTTCCAGTTCTGTTTGGAATTTCTGTTATGGTGTTGGATTGGCATTTATAAACTTTCCTAGGCAGAGACATCTAAATATTCTGGGGAATTTCAAGGTCCTGCCAATGGGTAAAGCAAATATTTTGTAGTCTTCATATTAAAAAGTCTTTTGTAGGGATAATTTTTCCATTAATCAGGATAAGAGACAGTACATTTAAAAACCTCTAAAGATTGTGTTTCCTTCATTTTAAGGTAAGCTGGAGTAAGTCACTGGCTATTTTAATATATTCTACACCAGCATCTTCTCATGGCCTGTAAATCCAATTTTTAAGGCCTAGCATGGAACAAAGGGTAGCTTGGCATTAAACTCTTTTATTTTAATGATTTAAACTTTATTAAAAAAAATAAAACAAAGTGTGAGTCTGTCTTTATTTCCAGCTGAATAAGGATTTCTGTCATGGAGTAACAAAAAACCATTTAATTAATAGTTACTAAGTAGGAAGAGCTGGTTGGGTGATGTATCGAAACAAAAACACATCATCACAAAAATGAAGTAGCATCATTGCTTTACCTGATTTAAATGATTTTTTGTAGTTTCTTTTACTTAGTGTGTGAATAGCAATAGTGACAGGAAGTGTGTTGTGGCTTAATTAAATACTTTGCTTTGAAATGCTGTAACTTCTTGCAAAAACATTTGTTCTGAATTGGTCAGAATCTAACATAACGCTTAATTTATTTCAGTAATAAGGAAAAGCACCATACACATCTGCGCACGCCCCTCTATATTTAGAATTTAAGTGTATCAGGTGAGCAGTTTCAGTCATAGTTTAAAACAAAATATGAAGCTTGTTCCTGTCTTCACTGTATTTCGTATTATTTGGCAATGGCTGCCTTCAGTTTTGAACGTTTAGTGAAGAAACAGTGAATTTTCCAATTATTTCTTTGATACCACGGGCTGTCACTCAGCCCACTGTCAGTTGGCATGCAAGGTGGTAACTTTTCATTAAGAGCTAGAAATGAGTTATTTTCGTTTATAAATTTATTCCCATTATTTTGAGGGGAAGGAGGGGAGGAACATCCTACATAAAATAAATCGGTACTGGTAGAAAGTTGGGTGATTGTCCGTATTGGGGAGAACCTGAACTTGACATCTGAAGGCCTAGTAACCCTGAAAAAATAAAGGGTGGGAAAAGATGTAATGAATATATGGAGTGGGCACAGAGACTAAGGAGGATTTCTGCTGGGAAATCAGTAGAGGTGTACAACAGTGTGTTATGCTGCTAATAAAGCACCTGTAATCCTGGGTTCCCATTTGGTACAGAAAATTCGGGGGGGGGGGGGGGGGGGGGGTTCAGGAATCATTTGCCTTCAGGGGTAGTGGTTCTCACATGGAATTACTGGGGTGAGGATCTGAACATTCCTGTGGGGAAGGTAGGGATTTGGGCTGGTGTACGGATTGTGCTGCCTTAGTGGTAGAAATGCAGATACTGCTGTGCATGTGCATTGATGTGACTGGGAAATCTTGCAGGAATGTGAAGGAATATTAAATCTTGAGGACAGATCAGGCACCAGAACAAGGAGTATGAGCAAGCCATTAATAAACTTACAGAAGGGAAAACTGTTGAGCTACTTCAAACCCTGTTACTTCTCCACTGAAAGTTTTGGGACCAGTGGAGCAAGCCAAGATTCAGTTATGATGGGTAAGAGCTTGCAATAGCTGTCATTGGACTCAATGGCTGGGAAAGTCCTTTCAGTTCTGTGTTACTGCATGTTTTGCTCCGACAGCCAGATACCTATCAGCTGGTGAAGACTCTTGGTCATCACTTCCAGTTTTATTCATAAGCTGCATAATAATAATGATGACTTTTTTAATGATTATTTCCTTATATGGTGAATGATGTTGAGGTGACAACTCCTTGTTTACAACGCTGACGATAACTGGTGTTTTTTCAGTTTCATTCTCTAGGAAAATCTGCATCCTGGCTCTACAAGTGTATTAGTGCACTCTTAGAGGACTTCTGGGGCTAAGCAATGGCTATTCACTTTAGAGAATGTTTTAAGCAAATTTCCCAGCTTGCCAGTGGTAATTTACCAAATCAAGGGACTAGACAAACAAAAGGATAAATTAATCCCTTTCATGGGTATTTTCCAAAATAAATGTTTTTGCATGTAATGATTTTAAACTTTCCAAAGAGCCTACATGTTAATTTGCTTGCAAATTTAGCATTAGCTTACAGAATGTATTTATTCGTATGCTGCCACATGTAGATGTTAAAACTGATCACATACTTGTATAACTCTAATACTAATACTGATTCTTATCAAGGTGTGCCAGAAAGAGAACAGTGTTAGTGATCACAAGGGCTCCTATGGGTGCCGTTGTGCTGGTGCTGCAGATGGATGAAATGCGGGGATTGAGTGAATCTCCGGCAAGTGCTACCACTTTTTCAAACTTTAGCCTTGCAGCAAAACCAAAATTATACTCTGTCTTTACTGCAAAAATAATGTTATTTTCTTGAGATGGCAAAAGTGTATTTTGAGGAAAATATTCCCTCCCTAACCTAATTTTTTTTTGTTCAAAATTCGTGGCTGTATCAGAATAATTAGGCATTTGGTAAGTGACTTTAGCCATTGATTTTAGCAGTCCCTGCTTATTTGGACAGGAAAGAGATTCCTGAAGTGATATTTTTTTCTTTCCTTAGGATGAAAAGGGGTATGCACAGAGGTTCTTAAAATATCAGATATAGAATGTATTTCTGAATTAAAGCAGGTAGGTGTTTATTCTGCATTAAAACTTCTGGGTTTGAGACAGGGATGGTGACATTTCAAAATGTCACGGTAAACCTGAGTAATATCTCTTGAGAAAGAGGTAAAGATATGTAAAGTGTCAGGTGCTCGGAAGTAGATTTCAGATTTCTATACTTTCAAGTTATACTATCAAATCAGCTTGTGGAAGAAGAGTTTAAAATGAGAGAGGTGTTTCTTTCCTTCCCTTGCCTTTCATGTCTCTACGGTTCATGTAATGAAGCTCTTTTAACTGTGAAATGAAACACCAGTTTCTCTAAACAAGAGATGAAAGAACACAAAAGAATAGAAAACTTCTTTCAAATACAGCAGTGCAAACAGGTACATGAACAGAGGAGTTCTGTGTAGTTTGTGTTTTTATATGTATAAAATAACTAGCAATTATATGAAGTTTAAAGGTATAGTTTTCCACGTCGTTTTATTTATGTGGATAAAAGACATCTAAGGTAGAAAGAGAGGCAGTCAAACAACCTTGTTAGGGTTGGAGGTTGGAGGAGCTTGTCTTCACTGCACTTGAAATTGCCAAGGTGCATCAGATTTTAAAATAGCACTTTCCACTGAAGGTATTTAAAGCCTTAATCCTTGCCTCATTTTGCTGGTATAGGTCAACAGATACAATAAAATGAGTATGTTGTAGGAACATATGTATTGATCTAGTTACTAATACACATTATGTTCTCATTTTGGCACTCACAGTAATTACGACTATTGCACAGTGGAAAGAATAAAGCCAGTACTTGATACCGTTTGTATCTGCCAGCATCTGGAGGATCACTTGCTAGACTTTGTCAAATGGTGTAAGTTCACATGCACATCTTAAAAGTTAGAACTTTTAAGTTAGGTTCCTCTTTCAAAGAAAACCAATGGGGCGGGGGGGGGAGGAAAGTCAATAGCATTGTTCACTAAACCTCTCCCTTCAGTGGGTGTCTTACAGTAAAAGGAATGCAGAGAGAGTGCACATGCAAAAACTGGTTGATGTCTTATATATATATATATGTAATTTCTCCTTGTGTATTTGAGATTGTGTTGCTTAGGGTCAGTACAGTCTCAACTGGCATTAAAAGGGCAATCTGTAATTCTTCCAGCTAGAAGGAGGCGCTCATGAGTATTTTCATCACTACAGAATTAAAGATCAGAATGGAAACTGCCTGGCTGAGACTTGTACCTTGCATGCTCTTCTACCTATAATTAAAATAATCTGCACTTCAGAGGTTTGCTTTCCATCAGTTGTATGTACACACACCCTCACTGGATTTTTTTTCCACAGTTGAAGATTAGTGAAATCAGCAGGTCTTTCTTCATTTTAAAGTTTGTCTGAGTCTGTACAAGGCAAATGGGGGGCAGAGATCAGGCTGCAGGAGTGGCCCTCATGCCCTGAAGTGCCAGCATGACCCAGGAAGTTACGCAGCTTGTTCACTGTTTTCGCTATGACAGTTTTATCATATGAGTTCTGTCCCTTACTCTAAACTCTTCTTTAATTCACAGCTCCTCATTTTTAGCTAATCCTTGACCTCAGCTGACAAGAGATGAGGTTGAACCTGTTCCTTGCTCTCCAGTGCCTGTCTCTCCCTTGCGGGCTTGCTATCAGTAACTGTACAGCAAGTATGACTCAAATCCCCATCTCTGGAGCACTCCGTGACACTTCTGGCACAGCTTCTCCTTCGACATCCGAGGTGTGAGTTCACTTCTGTTACCACAAACCGACCAGCCCTGTAGGAAGAAAGTGAGAGAAAGGTGTGGAGGAGGGGAGAGGGAAATGAGTTTAAAAACAGTGAAGGTGGGGCTTGAGAGAAAAATACTTCATGGGGAGCGAAATGACAGAGTTGGATTCTTGAATCTCACCCAGGTTTCTTGTTCAGTCATCATTTTGCAGCTCCCACCTTGGGGTTTCCTTTCCATCCTTTCCATGAATGCAGTGGTGTACTGGCTTTCACCTGCAAAGTGAAACGTCTGGCACCCCTGGTGTCACCATCTGCTGTAGCCGCCTTCTCCTTGGAGTCAGCAGTACCCATCACTTGAGCAGGTGTATTCAACTGCGTAGTTTTAGCATGTTGCCTAAGAAGGCTTTTCTTTACAAAAATTGTTTCAGAGCTTCTTCCTCTGCAGAAGAGGAGTTGGCAGGTCCTGCACAAAATGGTGGCACAGTCTGCTCAGGCACTTCTTGTTACTGCTTCAATACATTGTGTCGTGGAAAACTGAATCTTTGGAATTGATTTTTTATTCAGGGGATAACTGATGGAGTCACTTGAGGACCTTTGTGTCATGAAAATTACTATTTCATGGTTCTGAAGTTTCACTTTGTACTGGTATGAATGTTTCATATAGACAGCAGAATACGTTTTCAACATGTGTAATAAATAACCAAACACAGTTTTGGTCGCAAGCCTTTTCTGTTTCATTTTCCAGTCAGAATAAGATTCCATTATATTTGGTTTAGTTGTAGAAAAACGTCGGTATTCAGAATCAGGCTGTACAGGCACTAGTAAGAGGATGTGTCATTTTGAATCATAAGTATTTCTGTACTTTACATCTTGGCACCTTTCAATAGGAAGACACACAAGGACTTTACCTTTCTGCTGAGGTATGGTTCTGCTGAACCACCCGAGAAGTTTCTCTGCCAATCTGGGGGATCTGCTCCCTTACAGAAACCGTCCAGTTTTGTTTTATTGCGTATAAATTTATACTTGACAGCTGTTGAGAAGCTCACTGGAACAATGGCCATAATGGCAATTTAACAAAAAAAAAGGAAAAATAAAAACAACAAAAAACCACCCAGCTTAATTTATTGCCCAAATGTCCTTCACTAAGAAACCATAATGTCAGTTTTTAGTGAAATTAGTTGATGCCCTACTTCTGGTTGTGCATTCAATTATTCCCATGGTAAGAAGACACAACCCTAATGGGTCAGCTTACAATTTCCTTGAAATATATTGTGTGGTTTTAATTAATATGCCAATAAGAGGAACTTCGCGGTATTTATTTTATCTCTTACTGAGACTTGAATGCATTCAGGACTTCTGCTGCAATTGACTTCCTCGGGGAGGTGCAGCAGGAGTTGTATCCCCTCTGGCCTTCCTAAATTACACTGGGTTTAGTATCTTTCTGGGGCATGGGGAAAAATATTTCAGTTCTGTGAAGCCTATCTACTTGCACTTTTCTCTCCCTCCTCCCCCAAACTAGATGCCACAGTTTCCATAATGCAGCCCTTGCTTTTTTTTACTGCATGCTTTGAACAACGAAGCGGGTGAGCTGTAGCTACTGGGCATAACAATTGATTCTTTAGCTGTCATCTCAGGGGGCTCTGAAATTTAGGTCTTCCAAGTTTATGAGCCTCATTTCTAACAGAGGTGTGGTCTGGGGTAACCACGCAAGCTTCCAGGAAGATAACATGAGGCATAGATTAAATTCTCTTAAGAACCGGTACTCAAGTAAATGGGAGGATCCACGAAAGCTGATACCTACTTTTGTTCACATTTGTTTTGCTGCCTCTGTGTTATTTGCTTTCTGTGTACTTGCTAAAAGCAAACCCAATCAAGATTGCGTGATGGTGTATGGAAGAGGCCTGTTGCACAACTCCCCTTCCCCTGCTCGCACCCAAGTGAATCCTTGCTTGTGTCACTGCAGGCAATTAACAGTGCTTCAAAACCACATGCAGCTCCTATTCCAGAATGGCATTTGATGGTATCAGGAAGCTTGAGGGTTTGAGAAAAAAATAGAGGAGCTTATTTATTCTTTAAAAGGAGCTTATTCTTCATCATTAAGAGATGCTAAAATAATCAAAGGCATTGAGTGTGCAGCATCAGCAAGTAGACCTTTGTTGCAAGGTATGGTCTGGTTGGGATAAAAATGTATTCTGCATCTTTAATATAATATATGCTTGAAATGAGCTGTAACAGATTTTGATGTTCTGCTTTGATCCTAACATGCTGTGAGGCACTACACTGAAATGAATGTGGGTACCATTGATAAAGGAGAAGATCCTTAACATCTTAATGTATGGGCATGTACCACAGTTGCCACATTATAAACAAGGGTGTGAGCTTTTCACAGCTGCCTCAAGAAGGGGAACTTTTACCTCTTGTTGTCCCAGGGTAAACAGGTTGCTTGTGTCTCTGAGAGCAGAAGAGTGCTTTCTCTGGCATTGGCTGATGAGGGAGAACGTGAGGAGGAATAATTACTGTGGATTTGCTGCGTGCTCTGTAACCACATGTGTATCTTGATCTGATAGTAATGAATCTGAGTGTTCATCTTTACCTGCAGGATTTCTCCTGAGGGATTTTGTTATTTATATTAAAGAGGGTTTTCTTGGAGCTCAAGTAACCTTAGAACAGTGAACACTTTGCTGACTAGCATTGGTGCTAATTGCTTGAAGCAAGTCAGTGGCTGGGATTTTTATTAAATTTTGCTATGCAATGAGATACAAAGTGTGAATGGTGTGCCTGGAACTTTCTTGAGAATTATTTGAGTTTATTTTGCAATAGCAAATAGGATCACAGGAACAAGAGACTGCTTCTGCTTGTGCTGGCTCTCTGCTGAGTGGGTCACTGTTTGCCTATCTATTTAGTCTAAAAACAATCCTACCTCAACAAAAGAAGAATATCCTTAAAGTTTTAAAACTAGAGGGAGAAGCCAAGAGCTAGGAAGAGTTAGCAGCAACTCCCATGATGTACAAGAAAAAGCGGAGCTCAAACCTTGCACTTTTCATCAAGCTTCTTGATACAGCAGAAGAGAAAGGTTTCCCAGTGATTTGTCTGATGTTCAGGTAGGGAAGATAGCTATGGATGTTACTGCTGCTTTGCAAGCAGATTTTCTCAGCTTCTGCTATGAAGTCTGCTGTCCTTCCTCTGCAGGGATGTGGAAATTCAACCTCCAAGAGAACTGGAGGTTTTCAGTTTTACTGGGGGAATGAATTGGTAGAAGTTTGGGAATAAAAGACAGTGTTTAGAAGACTACTTATGGCAGCATGTTATTCTCAAAGCTGAGTTTAATCCTGCAGTGGAGCAGGCACTGCTCAGAACTGTGGTTAAGTTGAGCCATCTGCTGATATATCAAGCAAGCCTGTCAGTAATATCTTGGTGATGGATTGAAGCTCAGAAGAGACAGGTACTATCATGCTTTGCAGTGCAAAGTTTAAAGGGCATGAAATATTGAATTCCCAGTTTGGTAAATGATGCACAGCCCGTATGGTTTCTTTATGGGATGACTCTTTCATAGCATGCTACTCCATTAACATGAGAAGTGTTGTTTTAATTATCTCAGCTGATGTTCCATTGAAAGTGCTTTGTGGGTAATTTTAATGGACACGGTATGGAAATTGTTGCACTGGCAGGTACAGTATCTGTTCATCTTACTTGCTTACAAATGTTCCAAGCAATCGTGTATGACACCTTCCTGCAAATGAGGTAATTCCCGCTTGGCACTGAGGCCTCTAAAGAAGAAAACTTTCATACTGTAACATTAAAGGCAGACACTTTGTTTTAATCACTTGCCAAAACAGCCGAAAACAATTATTAATTAATAGGAAACATTAACTTTTAACTTTGCAATCTCTCCAAAGAAGTGTCTATGACAACTTGCATCTGGATTTATGGATTATTTGGATGCAGTGAAACTGGGCATCGTACTGCAAAGGTTGACTGCTTTAAATTCATATTAAGTGTACACATAGCGCTCTTAAAATTAATATGTTTATAAACCTAAATTGGTTCAGTTGAATGCCTTTTGTTCTCTCTCTGGCTTCATTTGAAGCAACAACAAAAAGCTGTGCTTGTTTGTGTGTTTAACCAAAATGCTAAATGCAATTAATCTACCCAAAGCACACAAATATTTTTTGAATAATAGAGGCGCCCCTTTCCCAGTGTCTCTGGTATTTAACACTCTGGTTTGGAGAGAAGAAGGCAACTTTTTCACATCCCATAAATAAACTTTAAGAAATCTTTTGCTTGGCAGGCTTAATTTGAACCAACCCAGGGCAGCACCCTCAGATTTTCTTGACTGCTTTGATAAGGTTGAGCATAGCATGTATGGTTAGGGGGAGGCATCATTCCTAGTATTTTAGATTCTGGATCTTACTTTCCCTCTGGAAAATATTGTGTCTGGCAAATGCAGCTCCCAATAAATAAGAAGGGGGTGGGATGAATAGTGCAGTCTAAGACAGCTCCTGTTTGATCTGACTCAGAGGATGATTATGTGGGGATTCATCCTGCAGATCTACTCATTTTGCCTCTTTTGTCAAACAAAATAATGGAATTCCTTGGACTGTCAGAAACCGAGAATATCCAAAATATTTCAACAAGATCAGACCACAAGAGTTAGTTTATCTCAACTGAGAATCTTGAGACATCCCAATTATTTTAACAATGGGAGAGTGGCTGCCTAGCCTGTCTGCTTCTAGCCAGTCTACTTCTCAGTTATTGAGAAATTCATGGGGAATACTGTGACAAGTTTAGTAACTGCAGATTTTTTCTCAGTTAAAATCTCTTTTCTAGCAAACATGAGAGCTTCGCTTTATGCATTTGCTACTGAGGCACTTCCCTTAACAGCGTGTGGTCTCATCTTTCATTTAAAATTCTGCTAGTCCTGCTAAGCCTTCAACTTGCTCTTTGCCAGGTAACTCAATTTCAGCTCATCTTCTGCGCGTCGGACTGTCTTAACTGCTGAGGATGACCTGGTCAC